AGACTACAAATGTTTGTAGTGTCCGCTTTTTTGATTACAATGTTTGTAGTCTCCGCTTTTTAGACTACAAATGTTTGTAGTCTTTGCCTTTGTCATCACAAAGGTTTGTAGTGTCTGCTTTTTAGACTACAAATGTTTGTAGTGTCTGCTTTTTTCATTACAATGTTTGTAGTGTCCGCTTTTTGGACTACAAAGGCTTGTAGTGTGCACTTTTTAGACTACAAATGTTTGTACTGTCCGCTTTTTTCATTACAATGTTTGTAGTGACTGCTTTTAAGTGCACACTACAGGCCTTTGTCATGAAAAGGGCAAAGACTACAAACATTTGTAGTCCAAGAGCAGAAACTAAAACACTGTAATGAAAAAAGCAGACACCACAAACATTAAAGAGCGTGGGAAACAGTTCTCAAGTGAAATGTGCACTGTGCCTGACATTAGGTGTGGCAGAAAAAAGTGTAACGCTTTTCCTAATTAGGAAATGGCCCAATTGGGAAATAATGCGGACATTGTCCTGAACAGTGACAACACCAAGTTAGCCACTAACTCCAGTGGCCCAAAGAGTGTGGGAAATAGTTCCTGACCTAAATGCGCAGTGTGCCTGACATTAGATATGGCAGAAAAAAGTGTAACACTTTTCCCAATTAGGAAATAGTGCGGACATCGTCATTAACAGCGACAACACTTAGCTAGCCACTAACTCCAGTGGCCCAAAGAGTGTGGGAAACAGTTCCCAACCCAACTGCACACTGTGCCTGACATTAGGTGTGGCAGAAAAAAGTGTAACGCTTTTCCCAATTAGGAAATGGCCCAATTAGGAAATCATCAAAGCGGACACTACTGTACCGAACTGTATGGTGGCAACGTAACACATAACGCTGGCCTGATTTTGTTGCTTATTTCAGGTAAAGTAACGCGTAACGCTGGCCGTGTTGCTATGAAAATGACCAAAAAAAAGTCCATTTTTCTGTCCCTGCGGGGCTACAGATACTAAAATATAGGTAAAATCTGGTAGAATACCCCGGCATTGCCAGGATCATTGTATGCCCAGCCGACCATCTACTTCTGTAACATCGTCTTCCTAAATCTCTGGGGGGTTGCCTATCGGACCAAAGTAACACGTAACGCCCGGTCGGTTGCCGAAAAAAATCCTTCGGGGCGCGTAACGCTCCGTCTGCCGTTGCCACCATACAGTTCGGTACAGTACAAAATTTTAGCATCACTTTGGTCAAAGCTATTGGTAAATATATGTAAACAAACTTCGAAATGAGGGTTTTCTGACTTCCTCTGCTTGAATAAAAATAGATTATGGTTCCTGATACCATGGTATGGTATGAGGGTGCATGGTATGGTGTGGTATGGTGTGGTATGGTGTATGGTATGGTATGGTATGGTATGGTATGGTATGGTATGGTATGGTATGGTATGAGGGTGCATGGTATGGTATGAGGGTGCATGGTATGGCATGAGGGTGC